CTGACACAAGCCATGATATTTCCAATCGCCTCTTATGCATGTGAGAGCTGGACAATGAGTAAGGAAGACCGAAGAAGAGTTGATGCTTTTGAGTTGTGGTGTTGGCGAAGAATTCTGAAGGTACCATGGACTTCCAAGAGAACTAACAGATCTTTCCTGGAGGAAGTGCAGCTGAGATGCTCCTTGGAAGCGAGGATGGACAGACTTCATCTCACCTGCTTTGGTCATGTTGTCAGAGGGAACCATTCCCTGGAGAAGAGTATCACGCTTGGTAAGGTGGAGGGTTGAGGAAGTAGGGGAAGACTTTCGACGAGGTGGATTGACACTGTGGCTGCAACAATGGGCTCAAGTATAGCAAGGATCGGGGTGCATGGGGTCGCTATGAGTTGGAAATGACTTGACGGCATTTAACAACCACAACAACAACAACTGATAATACCATGGATTGCCAGAAGAATGAACAAATCTGTTTTGGAGGAAGTATAGCCAGAATGCTTCTTAGAAGCGGGGAAAGCTGTCTCACAATATTGGGGACATGTTATCAGGAGGGACCAGTCCCTGGAGAGGGATATCATTCATGGTAAAGTAGAGAATCAGAGGAAGACACTCAAAGAGATGGATTGAAACAATGGCTACAAGAATGGGCTCAAACATAGCAACATGTGTGAGAATGATGCAGGACCAGGCAGCGTTTTGTTCTGTTGTACATGAAGAGCTCTGGTGGCATAGGGGTTAAAGCATTTGACTGCTAGTCAAAAGGTCAGTGGTTTGAAGCCACCAGCTGTTCCAGGAAGAAAGATGAGGCGGTCTGCTTCTATATAGATTTACAGCCCTGGAAACCCTATGGTGCAGTTCTGCTCTGTCTGGGATGAGTTGGTCACCATCAGTGGGAATTGCATCACTGGCACCTAACACAACAACAATCTTTCCAGGAGCAGACTGCCAGGTGTGTCTCTCATGGAGTCGCTATGTGGGTTGGAACCACCAACCTTACAGTTAGCAGTTGTGCAGTTAAATGCTAATTACATTAACTATAGGAATCTATCGCATATCCTCACAACCGGACTAATAAGCAACATCACCATAAATGGTGGAAAGATTGAAGTTGTCAGGGATTTCATTTTACTTGGATCCACAGTCAACACTCATGGAAGCAACAATTAAGAAATCAGACCTCGTATTGCACTGGACAAATATGCTGCAAAAGACCTCTTTTAAGCGTTAAGAAGCAAATGTGTCACTTTGAAGACTAAAGTGCGCCTGACCCAAGCCATGGTATTTTCAGTGGCCTCAGACACACTTGAAAGCTGGACAGTGAATAAGGAAGACTGAAGAAGTGTTGATGCTTTTGAATTGTAGTGTTGGTGAAGGATACTGAAAATACCATGGACTGCCAGAAAAACTAACAAATTTGTCCTGGAAGAAGTGCAGCCGGTATGCGCCTTCAAAGCAAGAATGGCCAGACTTCGTTTCACTTTGGTCATGTTGTCAGAAAGGACCACTCGCTGGAGGATATCATGCTTGGTATAGTAGAGGGTCAGAGAAAAAGGGGAGGACCCTCAAAGAGATAGATTTATACAGTGGCTGTAACAATGGGCTCAAGTATAGCAAAGATGGGCGCTCTGGTAGCATAGTGCCTAAGGCACTTGACTGCTAACCAGAAGGCTGGTGGTTCAAACCCACCAGCCACTGCTCGGAAGTAAGGTTGGGCAATCTATTTCTGTTGTGATACCGCCTCAGAAACCCAAGGAGGGGTCGCTATGAGTTGGGTCCCACTTGATGGCACATAACAACATAGCAAGGATCATGAGGTTGGTGTAGGACCAGGCAGTGTTTCGTTCTGTTGCACGTGGAGTCGCTGTGACTTGGAAATGTCTCAACGTTACCTACATCGCAATTAAAATCTATAACTCCACAGTTAGGCAACCCTAGTGGTCGTGGTTCAGCGACCCATCAGCCACTCACGCAAGGAAGAGCAGTCTGCAGCAGACTGCTTTCATAAAGGTTACAGCCTTGGAAAACGTATGGGGGCAGTTCTACTCTATAGTATAGGGCCACTGTAAGTCGTAAGGGACTCAACCGGGAGTGGGTTTTGGAGTTTTGACTATGTCCTTCGAGGAAATGCACATATAAGAGTTTGGCTTCTTCTCTTCTTTTTGATTGGCTGCAAGTTATCTTAATGTGATTGGTTAAAGCATCTGCCAGTTATCTATGGGGAAAAATGGAAAAAAAAAACTAACAGAGTCTTAAACTCAGCTGCTTTATTGGCTCCGGTAGCGACGTATGGCAAAGACCATACTCTTCAAATTTGTGATTGGTTTTTATGTCTGCCATTCATACTGTCAGAATCCCTGACCAATCCTCTTATTCGCTCTATGACCTGCCTAACCGATTGGCTGTACAGGTTTACGCTGGCTAGAGTTTCATTAGTCCGAACCACTCCAGTTAGCGGCCCAAGCCCGCCCCTCTCTCGGTTGCCTTGGTTGCAGGCCCTGCCCCGCCTTCTCGCTCGCTGACAGCGAGGCCTAAGGCGGAGGAAAGTGGGACCGTTGGTCGGTCGGGAACGAGGCTTCGTCAGGGAGGCCCGCACAGAGTCGTTGCCATGGCAGCCGCTGCCGGGGGCGCGGACGAGGAGCCACGCTCCGGCCGCTCGAGCTCTGATGGCGAGTGCGCCGTGGCGCCGGAGCCGCTGACCGGCCCCGAGGGCCTCTTCTCCTTCGCCGACTTGGGGGCGGCGCTGGGCAGCAGCGCGAGCTTCCCCGGCCGGGCGTCCGACGGAGCCCATTCTCCACTGCGCTATCTCCACGTCTTGTGGCAGCAGGACTCGGAGCCCCGCGATGAGCTGCGTTGTAAGATCCCTACCGGGCGGCTGAAGCGCGCCGCCAGGCCTCACCGCCGTCTTGGGCCCACGGGAAAGGAGGTGCATGGTGAGGCGCGGGAGCGGCTGGCGGGCGCCGAGGGAGGCGGGCCGGCCCGCGTGCGCTGCCAGCCGGGGAGCCGGGGGTGAGGCGCTGCGCCTGGTCGGGACCCTGCTTGGAGAACCGGGCCCGAACTTGCCCCAGACCCCGAGCTAAGGCCCCAGAATGACCCTAGAGTCTTCTCTCAATAATAATCATAATGGCAGCTAAGGAGCGTGGATGTAAAAATACTAAAACGAAACCAACCAACCAAAAAACTTCCATCTCAGAACCAGTCACCCCAAACTTCTCACACTTGGTAATTTCCATAGAGAAACTTTTCATGACTCGGCATGTTCCGTTTAATTTCAACTCTTGGTGAACCCCGTGTGACATGGTAGGACTGATCCATAGGGTCTCCAAGGCTGTGATCTTTACAGAAGCAGACTGCCACATCTTTCTTCCGCACCATGTGTTGGATTCTATCCTCCAACCTTTCCCAGTTAGCTGCCAAACACCACTGGGCTTCTTAGGTATTTCTTTGTGAATACCAAAATGTAGCCAAGTTGTACTTACTTGTTTACACAGACCTGGGTGAGATTCCTCTACCTCATTTAGGGGTTAAGGCAAACTATGGGACCATTCAGCCTTTGTTTTCTCATCTGTAAAGTGGGTACATGTGCCTACAGGGATGTTGCACGAGTTCTATTAGGTAAGAAAAGCACAACTGGCTATTATGCCGCCTTTGTGTGCCAAACAGTGTTGGCTGATAATGACCGTTTCTCATCCTCACAATAACTCTGAGACCCAGATTGTTCCCATTTTACTGAAGAGGAAACTGGGGCTCAAAGAAATTACCTTGCTTCAGGTCACAGAACTAGAAAGCGGCTGGACTGGTGTTAAAATCCAGATTGGCCAGACTCTAAAACCCCTGCTGCGAGAGATGTCTACCATATTGTCTTTTACACTGTACACATGGCATGGAAATTGAGGCCCTGACAGAGGTTGAATGGGGACTTTTAAGAGTCCCTTTCTAGCACCTGAGGGGCATTGTGAAGATTAAATGAGAATTTAAAAGTGCTGTATAAACTGTACTGTGTTACACGAATGTCAGGAATTATTATGTATCTTAGTTGCAATTTTTGCCCTTTTCTCTAATTTCAAAGGCATTTTTTTTCTGTTTGCTTCTAATATAGAGACAGTGTCACTGGGAGAAAAGTGCTTTTGATTAGGCATCACCAAGTTTAGATAAATCATTTGGGGATGACTTTTTTAAAAAAAGTTATATATTTTTTGTGTTTTTGGGAAAAGTTTACACAGCAAATTAGGTTCCTATTTGACAATTGTATAGTTCTTTTTTCTTTTTTAATTGTGATTTGGGTGTAAGTTTACAGAGCAAATTCACTTTTCATACAACAGTTCATACACATTGTTTCATAACATTGATTGCAGTCCCTACAACGTAGCAGCTCTCTTCCCACTTCCTCCATGTGGTTGCCTTTTCTCTGTGTCCTTTCCTATGCATTCCTGCTCTCTGAGCTGCCTCCTTGTGCAAACACTGCCCTTCTGATCTCCCATGGTTGATTGCTCTAAGGAGCATACCTACCTGGTGTAATTGTTCACCGTGTCGGCTTATTTGTTTGGCTGGAAGCCACAGGAGTGAGTTCAGTTCTAAGCCTGAGAGGTGATTCACTCCCTCACTGCCATCGAGTCGATTTCAACTCATAGTGACCTCCTTTTGCTTTCCAAGGAGGTAAATCTTTGCAGAAGTAGATTAGAAAGGTGACTAGGGATTTCACCAGGCTCGATCAGATCAGTAAGCCTGGTCTTTTCTATGATTTTGTTTTGTTCCACATTTTTCTACCCAGGATCTCCAATCTTGATCCCTTTCCGAATGGTTGAAGGGGCACCATCCATTTCTTCTGGCCTCAGGGTCATGTGGGCTGAGGTTCCCCTGGTCCCTTAGTCCTTCGGACGGATTGTTTCCATGCATTCACACTCCTTTGCTCCTAGGGAGGAGAAACCAATTGTTGCATCTTAGACGGCCACTTGCAAGCTTTCAAGACCCTAGTCTACTCTCATTTGACAATGTCTACACAGATTGTTTGGGAGCTCTGGTAGCATAGTGCCTAAGGCACTTGACTGCTAACCAGAAGGCTGGCGGTTCAAACCCACCAGCCACTCCTTAGAAGGAAGATGGGGCAATCTACTTCTGTAGTGATGCTGCCTCGGAAACCCAAGGAGGGGTCACTGTGAGTCGGGTCCGACTCGACGGTACTTAACAACAACAATACATTGTTTAGTGATGTTCATTAAATTTTCCAGTATGTCAGCATTCTCTTTGATTCTGTTCTGGTGTTGCATTTAATGTAGTCAACTTTTTGTTTTTTGGTTTGTTTTTGAGACCATACACAGCAAAACTTATTCCAATTCAAGTTTCTCCATGTATAATTTAGTGATACTGATTATAATTTTTGAGTTGTGTAACCATTCTCACCCTCTTTTTCTAAATTGTTCCTCCTTCATTTAAGGTAAACTCACTGCTCCCTAAAGGTTCTTATCTAATCTTTCAAGATGCTGTTGTCAGTTTGACTCTATATGTTGTTGTTGTTGTTATGTACCATCGAGTCGGACCCGACTCATAGCGACCCCTCCTTGGGTTTCCGAGGCAGTATTACTACGGAAGTAGATTGCCCCATCTTCCTTCCGAGGAGTTGACCCTATATTGATAGATCTTAAAAGCACATCATGCTCAAAGCAGACCTTTCTTACAGTTAAGCTAAACTATTATTCGGTTTTAAGATGACCTCGGGATATTTTTGGTTTAAGGTTTAAAGATTATCTCAGGGCAGTAGTTTCAGGGGTTCATCCACCATGGCTTCAGAAAGCCTACTGTCCATGTGAATTTGAAATTCTGTTCTGCATTTCTCCCCTTTTGATCAAGATTCTTCTACGGAACCTTTGATCAAAATGTTCTATAATGGTTCTGTGAGGTACTGGCCAGTTCTTCTGGTCTCAGGAAAAGGAGGCATTTATTCAGGGAGGTGATTAATCACATTCCATATCCTCCTCCTATTCCTGACTCTCCTCCTGTTGTTGCAGATGAATAGAGACCAGTTGTGGTGCATTTGATGGCCACTTGCAAGCTTTTAAGACCCCAGGCACTACTCACTGGGGAGGTAGAACAGAAGCCCTAAACATGTTACGAGGCCAATTAACTGGAATATTCCTTGGAACCATGACCCTAAACCTCCAAACCAAGGAACCAAATCCCATGAGGTGTTGGGTTGTACATAGCAGCTTTAGCAGCTACCTCCCCCATCATTGTTATAAATCAATCACATACCTTTTGCCATTCAACTTTTTTGTAGGGTACAACTTATTGGCAGCGATTACAATAACTGGCTGTGCAGACCTCCTCTTAATCAATATCCTTTTTTCATCACAGTTCACATCCCCCCTTTTCCCTCTCCCTCCTACCCCGGTAACCACTAATAATCTCTGGTCTCTGTACATTTTCCTTTTCTTGTCTTTTTATGTAAGTGAGGTCATACGATGTTTGTCCTTTTGTGATTGGCTTATTTCACTCATCATAAGGGCTGCAAGCTCCACCCACAGGGAATTGCCTGTTTTGAATAAGAGTCTAAGGAGGTGAACTTTGTAACCAGCTCACAAAGAGCTGCGGTGTCAGTCACCTCCTTTCATTCTTGCAACCCCTCAGGGCTGGCAGGGCAGAGAGTAACCTTGTGTTGTACATGAGATAGAGCTGAGACCCAAAGAGGTCAACTAACTTACTCAAGGTCCCTCAGTTACTCTAAGTGGCAGAGCTTGGCTCTGCCTACAGGGGCCTTGGAGAATTTGCTACAGAAAGGTGCCCTTTTCACTGGTCATGCTGCATTGCAAATTTCTCTTCCTTCCTGGGATAGTGTCTCTTGCATCCTAGCATCACTGGTGCTGTCATGGCTGAAGGCTGGATTGACTCGGAAACTGTGCACTTTCTGTTGAATCACTACCATTTTGTTTTTCAAATCGGCACTCCCTTCCTCTCTTTACAGCTTTGAAGAGGTTGAGGGACTCAGCCAACGCTAACGACGTGGAAACAGGTGAGTGTGCACAGTGGGCCTAGCTCCAGGGACCCATGGGCTGGTTGAGGGAGGACTAATCCAGGTGGCAGTACCTGGGAAGAAGGTGTGGAATTCAGCCCGCAGCTCAGCCCTTGGGCCAGGCTCGCTGAGGTATTGTGTGACTTTGCAGTCATCCTGCGGGAGCTAAGTCTAGCTTCATGCCCACTCTTACGCTCCTGTCACCTGAACTTCCCAATGTCCTAGCGTTTTTCACCCTGAAGGCTTGCTGATGCTGGGACCCACGTCTGTTTTTGTACATTTGATACTCAGCACGGTCTTCAGCAGAGCATTGCTGCTCGTTTTGCAACCTCTGCATTGTGGGAAGGAGTCCTGGTGGCACAGTGGTTAAAGAGCTCAGCTGCCAACCAGCAGGTCTGCAGGAGAAAGACGTGATAATTTGCTGCTGTAAAGATTTACAGCCTTGGAAACCCTACGGGCTAGTTGTTCTCTGCTCTAGAGGGTCGCTATGGGTAGGGATGGATTTGATGGCAGTAAGTTTGGTTTGGTTATTTGGAGGTGGTGGGAGTGAACACTCCACTTTAACCAGGGGATCATCTGGCTGGTGCCATCATCTTCAGCTGCTCACTGAGGCTTTGTGGTAGATGAGTCCGCAGTTGTCAAACGTGTTTAGTTGACAGAGCATCTGAGAGGCACAAGTAGCCTCCCAGCAGGACGCCACTCTGTGTTTTTGTAGTTCTCCACTGTTCACTATAAGCACAGTAGCAGTATCAATGGCAAAAACATGAAATTTTATTCCCTGGCTTAATCCTTTCTGTGAATCAAAGAAAAGTACGTTGCTTTCTATGGCTGCTGTGACAAATGCCCACAACCCTAGTGGCTTGAAGCAGCACAGACATACAGTTCTGTGCGTCAGAGATCTGACACGGGACTCACCTGGCTAACATCAAGGTGTCGGCAAAGATGTATTCTCTCCTGAAGCTCTGGAGGAGAATCTGTCTGGCATTTGCGGCATCGGGAGGCCACTGTGTCCCTTGGCTCGTGGCTCCCTTCCTTTGGCTTCAAAGCCAGTGGTGGGCAGAGTCCTCCTCCTGCTGCCGACTCTCAGGTTCTCGCAGGGAATGCGTTCTCTGATTTGAAGGACTCTTGTGATTAGGTTGTGCCCCCCCCATCCATGGCTAATCCAGGATCATCTTCCCAGTTCAGGTTCTTAACCTGTATCCCCTCTGCACAGCCACTTGTTTTGGTTACCTGGTGCTGCTCTGACAGGAAATACCACAAATGGGATGGCTTGAACAAACAGGAGTTTATTCTCTTATAGTCTTGGAGGCTAGAAGTCTGAATTCAAAGTGTCAGGCTTTCAGGCTCTAGGGGCTGGGTGAAAGCCCGTGACCTTGGGCTTCAGCTCTGCCTCCTGCCCCCAGCCCCCCGAAGCTGGAGGCTTTCTTCACTGAGGCAGCTGCTGGTTGCTGAGGCTGAGAAGCCCAAGGTCAACAAGTAAAAAGATGCAGTCCCAAAATTACCAAATCGTGCGTCAGGCTAATGATTCAAGTCCATTAAGAATCCCAATCGATCGAAAAATCAGTTGGATTCCTCTACACCAGCAAAGAGATTGCTGAAAAAGAAATAAGAAAATCAATACCGTTCTCAATAGCT